ATTTAAAATTAGCTATTCGCCAGTCTTTATAACCCAAAGCGCAAACAGGCTGCACTGAAGCGGTGTCGCAGGAACAGAAATCCTCTTGGGCTAGCCCTAAACCCAGGGAAAGGCAAGGAATAATCACTCCTTTGTGGGTCAGACCAGAAACCTTCACTGAGCGAGGCTGGGAAAATTCCTCGGCCTCTGTAATCAAGAATATTGGGCAGGAGGAGGCACCGAAGGGTACCGCGGGGCCTGCGGCAGACTCCATTTATCTGGTAATTGATATAATTACCAGGGGATCCAACAGAGAGACTTTCAAGTTCCACAGCAGATCAGCTGAGTTGACAACGTCGTTCCTCTTCCATGAACAAAATGCAGAAAACCAGGGGAAACTGTCGACATCTACTGGGATAAAGCTTCTTCCAAGCTCTGCCTTGAGCTGACCCAAACCCTGATTTGTTTTGACCAGCAACTGCAGCCCACGGCGCCACACAAATAACGTCACGTCCTAGTTCATACCATTGATCTGAATCTCTCTCCCGCTCCCAAAAGGCTACAGCCCAACCGGGCGCAAGGAATGACGGCCCAACTTGCTGCTGGCACCGGGAGAGCGGGCTGCGCTCCCCGCCGTGCCCGTCCCCACCTACCCTCGGCCAGCAGCAGCTCCCGTTGCCCACCTCCATGAGCAGCCTTAACCCAGAGAGAGCAGAAACCAAAGAAAATGGGGTATTAGCGTGTTAGGGTGGTGCGTAAAAGGGTCCAACAAGAACTGGAGCCAGTGCGAGCGCGGGGCAGGATCCCGCAAGCAAACCTGAGTGATGCCATAGCAGAAGGACGTGGTTAGACCCGCTGGCTGCGGCCGGAGCACGGCAGGGCACAGCAGCCGCTTAAGGAGGAAATGAAGTGCCCAGCGCGAACAAGCGCGGAGCAAGACCGTGCAGGATCACTGCTACGCAGCCTGCACGCAAAAACCTTTGCTCTATGGGAAAACTGCTCCTCGAGCAGGCCGAGAGCGCCGGAGCCGTTTGGGAAGGGGAGAAGCAAGGCCATCTGTATGCCAAAAGTCAGCAAAGCTATTCGAAGAGGGAAAAGGTACGGCCGAGGCAGAAAGGTGACAGGCCTAGGTTTCAAAGGCTGGTTTCTGGACGCTCCGTCTGCAGGCTGTCCCCAGGTCACCCTCTCAAAGCCGGGCCCAAGCAGCACTTAGAGCAGGTCCAGGCTTTTGGCCACCAGCCCTCTTCAGCTCCCAGTAGAGGTTTTCCATCAAGCGCTTCCTCTTGAAGCCCTGCGAAGTCCCTTGCTTTACCCTCCTACCTAGCGCTGGGCCCTCACCTTGTGATTCCAAATGAACCTTTGAGCTTGACTGTGACTAAAAACCCCAACCTTGAAAGGCTCATGATCTTGAATTTAACCTCCATCAGAAATCCAGCGCCATTAGAGCTGCCGTTGCCCCATAGAACTTTCCTGCCCTTGATTCTGATCGCCATGCTTACCGCAGTAAGTTTGATTTTGAATTTACATCGCAGACACGGAATCTGAAAGTAATTCATTCAAACACAGAAGCTCTGAACAAGGGTTGAATTTTGTTTTATCAAAAGCCCCATGCTTTATTTAACCAACCCTCACCATAGGCCAGATCAACCCCTCCTTGCAGAGCCATGAAAGCTGCTACCACCTATGCACGTGAGGGATTAAATACAAGGTAAGGCCTCACATCTTCCCCGTTCGCTGCTTGGCAGCTGTAAACCCTTCCTCTTCCTGATGCCCCGACCTTCAGTTACCCACCACAGACCATAATGGGAATGCTTTAGAAGCACGCTGGCATCCCAAGTCTTCTGCACATTCCTCCTTCCCCCTGTACGTGCAGATTTTCCGTACAATACGTCGTCAAAGCAGTACCTTGCCTCGAGGCAACGCTGGTTCTGAGAAGGGCAGGGAGGTAAGCGGTGTCTCCTGCACACCAAGAGTTAAGCCACCAGGAATCCTGCTCCTGAAGGGCCCAGGCGGTGACAGACAGTTTCAGCAACGAGCAATTTTCCTAGCGCAGGCGAGGACCTCAGCACTGACCTCGTGAGAGCCGGCCTCGAATTTGGCAAGCTGGGCAGAAAGCGCGTACGTGTTTACAGGCAAAACAAGCTGCTGCTGAGGCTATTTCATGCACTCTGCTCCCCTCCACTGTCCGAGAGCATTAACAGAGCCATCAGACTGAAACACGACTGCATGGAAAGAGCACCTCGCTCGTACTTTGCCGAAGAGCAGCGTGCCGTGGAGGGCTTGCTGTTCCACGCGCGGCTGCCTTCCATGTTTGAGTCACCCTCTCGAACAGTCCAGCCACCTCTCTAGGTCTGAATCAGGGCGAGCCTCAGCGTCGCTTGTACTCAGGGTATACCTCAGGGTCCGGACGGTAACATCCAAGGCCATGCCAGAGCGTCCGTGCCTCGCCACCGTCCTGGAATCTGGGCTTCTGCCACAGCAGAGGGGTACGTGGGTTTGCCGGCAGCGGGTGGTTTCATGCAGGCTGATCCAAGGACCGATGCTCAGGCTCCACAAGCCTGAGCTCAGCGCATTCTAAATTCAGGCTTCAAACTCGGACAAGAGCGACTGTCTGGGTAGAATACCAAATTCCACAGCTTCCTCCTAACTCAGGAGCTTCTTCATGTCCTCCCACACCCTCCCTCCCTCTTTTGTCCCTGTTCCCCAGCGTAAGAGAACCGAGCTGATGGCTCTGAACCTGATGCTCCCTTCAAAGATGAGCAATATAACAGCAAAGTGCTAGTGGCTGGTTCCCCCAAGCCTGTACTCCTTCCCTCTAATGGGGCATGCTTTGAAGGCACGGCTTCACAAGGTGGGGGGCCAGCCAAAAAATGGGCAACAGCTGCAAGAACAGAATCCCAGAATCACGGAATCGTTTGGGTTGGCAAAGCCCTTTAAGCTCCCCCAGCCCAACAGTTCCCCTACCCCTGCCATCCCACCCCCAAACCCCGTCCCTCAGCACCACCCCTGCCCAGCTGTTAAATCCCCCCAGGGGTGGGGACTCGACCCCTTCCCTGGGCAGCCCCTTCCAGTGCCTGAGCCGCTCCCCAGCAGCCTGGGGCTCCAGACCCCTCCCCAGCTCCGCTGCCCTTCTCTGGACACGCTCCAGCCCCCCCAGCTCCTTCGGGGAGGGAGGGGCCCAACCCTGACCCCAGCACTCGAGGGGCGGCCCCCCCAGTGCCCAGCACAGGGGCACAGGGAGTCCCTAAGAAAAGGGAGGCATCACTCTGTCCCTCATTCACCTTTTTTGCTATTTGCAAGCACTGCAAAACCCGTTTGCTTTTCACCACGAACAGGCCATGTGCTACAGCGAGCACAAGAAAAGCAGGCAGGGAAGGTTCGACATTAACCCGAGAGCTGCCTACCAAGCCAGAGCAGAGGTCTATGCGTGACAGCAGCCAGCAGACGATGCCTAGGCAGGAGCTCCTCCAGGAGCAGAGCAAAGGCAGTGCTGCTTCCTTGGAGCATCTCCTGGCCTTCAGAGATTCACAAGCCGCCCGCCCTCCCACTAACCCAACTTAAACAGGTGGTTGTTACCAGCAAAGGTTGCCCCCCTCTTCCAACCATCCCCGAGTACGCCTCCCCACCACCTCCAGCAGCCACATGGCAGCAGGGCGAGTCACTGAAACTCGCCAGTTTACTAGAAAAATATCCAGCGGGAAAAAAAAACCCGAACCCACGGAAGGCAAAAAGCTCAATCAACTCATGGAGGTCCCATGACCACTGGCAGAGATGCAAGGAGGGCGGCCGGGGCAGGTCTGCACTCTCTGGCAGCAGCCAGCTCCCCGTCGAAGCGAGCGCATGCCTTGCAGAGGGAGGTAAATGTCGCAAATAACGTCAAAAATAAACTAGTCTTCAACCAGTCGTATTATTTGTATCCCAAATGTACCCCAACTCAGTTGTTTCAATGGAGAAATCTGCTGCAGAGTTACCAAGACCTGCTGGCCCACGGCAGACTAAGGCCCAGGGAGACAAGGTGCCACCTTATGCGCTTGGGGAAAAGTCTAAGTGAGACAACGTCAACTTTCCCCAACAGACTGACACCAGCAACCAGCAGCGCTGGTACCTCCGAGGGCAGAGATTATATCCAGACGTCGTGTTTCCTAACAAAACAATCCATCCATCCTTCTTCAACACTTTTCAAATCCTTCTACGGTTTTGGCCTGAGCACCATCATTATGGGGAGCGATTGCGCAATCCGTCAGCGACACGACGGGATCTCTGCCTTTTAAGCGTGCTGCCCAGCCGTCCCGCTGGGTGCCATCTGCTCTTCGCCTGCGAGAAGCACTGGCCGACCTCAAACAAGGAGGAAAGCGCGTTTCTATCCACGCGCCCTTTGGAAGGTCCAGCCGGGCAGGCGGCCCGCGAGGCCGAGAGGAGCGGCGTTGGTGGGAGCGCAGGAGCGGCGCGAGCAGACCGGGGTAATTTCCCAGAACGCTTCTGGCCTCCGCAATCAGGAAATCCAAGAGTCTCTGAACGGAAAGAGGCAAGGTTACACTTGGGAAAGCAGCGCGGGATTGATGGGTGAGGCAGGGCAGGAGCCCTGATGCTTGGGACCATCCTGTCTCTCAGACTTGTGGTGACTACACCCGGGGACAGGAGGGGCCTGAACCGTTAACGTAAGCTGCAGGGAGAAGTTTCCAAGATGAGAAAGTTATTAGAACCCCCCCCCCCCCAAATGGTGTGTCAGGAATCACAAATAAAATGTGATGACTTTAACCTCAAAAGAAGTCAGATCAGAAGTTATACATTTTAAAAAAGCGTATTCTGCTTCTTTATCTCCCCCCTTACATTTATTTTCCCACTCTCTACTGAGATGATTTCTCCTCAACACACATTAAAGATCCCTTTCCTCACTGCAAGCACTTATTAGAGACCCATGTTCCTGAACCCCTACAGCTTCTTCCTTTCATCTATCATTAAAGGCAACTGAAAGAAAGGAATGAGACACAGTAAGCGGAGAATAATCAACTACTGATTACCTGGGTGAGCTCGAGGATCATCAACCACTTTGTTTCGGTATCATAGTCTGTATCATCAAAAAGAAAAAAAAAAAAAAAAAAAAAAGAGGGAGAAGAGCTTCAGGGAAAACCCGGACTTTCCACAGGTTCTCAAAGAGTCCATCGACTCGCAGAACATTTACTTCCATCACCGGGAACAACGAGGAGCTAAGGTGCCCGGCACGGTCATTCCGCACAAGCAGAACCCTGCTTCTGAAGCGAAGATCATCAGGATCGAAGGCTTAACAATAAATTTTAAGAGTTGTATCCATCCAGACCGAGCCTCCTTAGCTCTTGCCCAGATCTAGAAGATTTGTCCACCTACCAATAGTCTAAAGGAGTTTAAAAAAGAAAAAAAAAAAATTCTATTTATCAGACTGGCAAAGTTGCTTTGGAGTAAAGTTTCGACACGGGCTGAAGCTCAGCGCTCCGGCCGTCTGAGCTATCACAGTGCTCTTCCCGCGCGCTGTTACCCCACAGCAAACACACGGCAGACGACGGTGGTTTTAGCACTCCGTGCCCGAAGCACGTTTAGCACAGGCCAGGAGCACGTACCTGGGCGGCTACTGCAAAGCAACCTCACCCAGCGCGCCGCTGGGCCTGATGCAAACCCCTCGTAGGGATCTCTCTCGCCCACCTTTTCACTCGCACCTACCAGCGGCAGCTGGCTCTGCCCCCCAGGTGGGCCAGGCCAGCTCTGGGCAATCAGGGCCCGAACCAAAAGGGTCCCCATCAGCACCAACCCCAAAGACGAGCAGGCAGCAAACTGCGGAAGGGAGGGCAGTCAGGAACTCCTCTGGCCAGCCTCAACACCAACACCTCTGCCCCTCTCCACCCAGGACACTCGCAAAAACCTCTCGGGCGAGGAGAGACGTAAGAGCGCAGGCGACTTCCCTTACCTATCAACATAAGCAAAGCGTATACAGCTGTTTGCAAAAGCATGGTAATCTGCATATAGATACTAATTCCGCAGACGGCGCTCCGCGTTCCCAGCGGCGCAGCTTAACGTAAACACCGACCAAACGGCGAACCTGTCGGCGTTCAGAGGCCCCACGTTTTCACGGCATCCCCAGGCCACCTCTCACCCCCGCCCGCAGGAGGAAGGCAACCTGCCTGCGTGGCACAGTTCCCAAACAGGCGGGGAAGGGGGTGACGCCATTCACCCCCCGGCCCCTTAAACGCCATTTCTCGGGGCGTTTCAGCAACAGAAAATCAAGCACAAACTCATTAACCACCAGGCGCTAAATCTTTGTTTGCTCCAGTAAGAGGACGAGGCGCTTGTTCAGAGGCGATGACTTGCAAAGTTGAGAGCGATGCAATATCTGCCGCAAACAGACAGCGCAGGTCTCTCATCTCATTACTGCCACGTTGAGTCAGATAAGCAAACGCTTCGAGTTGGGGGGGGGGGGGGGGGGGAGCAGCTACGACCGAGGGCTACGAAAAAGAAAACATTCCCAGCATGTTTATGCATCTATTTTGGCCCTTATCGCTCACATTTTCTTATCCTGAAGAGCAGTTCCGCTCGTCTTAGCTCCTCACGCCCCCCTGAAGTCAAACCTCTGTGCGACAGTCTTTTTCCACTCCTAGCAGTATTAAAGCGTTTCTCTTCCCTCAAGATTTCTGATAGCACACACCTGACCTGCAGTTGAAGCCAGGCGATAGCGCAACGCAGAGGGAGAGCAACGACTATTCGCAAAGAACTTATTTCTACTCGGCTGTTTGGCCTGCCAGGTTCAGAACCAAACAGCAAGAAAACTTCTCCCATTTCACTTCAGGCAGACAGCGTGGATGTAACCGGCGCTGGAAAACAAGCTTGCAGCACTTAGCTCGGCATACTACGATCTTTCAGACAAAACTTAAAATACTCCCCCACGCAACTAGAAAAGATGGAAAAAGGGGACTTGTGCGACCGGTGCAACCACGGATCAGGCCAGAGCTGTGGAAAGATGCCAGAAAAACAGCACGGGATGTGCCACAGTGGTTATAATCACAGAATCCTAGAATCGTTTAGGTTGGAAAAAAACCTTTAAGATAATCAGGTCCAACTGTTACCCCAGCACGGCCACGGCCACCCCCAAACCCCCGTCCCCAAGTGCCACGGCTGCCCAGCTGTTAAATCCCCCCAGGGCTGGGGACTCGACCCCTTCCCTGGGCAGCCCCTTCCAGCCCCTGACAGCCCCAAGGGGAAGGGATTG